TTTTTACTAAGGAAAAAAGTACTCTAGCTATTAGTGAATATTGTAAGAGTATCCTGCATGAAGTTTAATTCCTTTAGAATTCCTTTTAACCAAATACATTATTTAATAGCTTCAATTATGGTTATATATTCTGCTTCAGTGCTAAATAGTGTAACCAAAGGTTGCAATTGAAATTTCTAAGTGATGTAATTGTCTCCAAGAGTAAAGAAATAGGCTGTAGTTGATTTTTCTACTACTTTATCACAATCAAAATCAGCATTTACGTAACCCTTAAGGGTTAAGGTTTTAGATCTTTTATCATACACTAGACCCAAATTCAATGTCCCAACAATATATCTCAACAACCATCTTATTCCAACCCAATGAGACTTACCATGGTAGATAGATCTGCTTAAAAAACTAATTGCATAAGCAAGGTCAAGTCTAGCTGTAACATAGAAAATATAAGAGAACCCATTGGATTTGCATAGGGTATGTTTACATTTCTTTTAATTTTTCTTCAGATTTAGGATAATGGGATTGGGAAAGATTCATATGAGCTGCAAGAGGCACATTAACTACTTTGCTCTCCTTTATCCCAAACTTGGTTACAACTTTATTTAGATATGCCTCCCGTGTAATAGTTAACTTGTTCTCAGGCACATTTCTGTTTAGAACCATTCCTAGAATATTCCTTGCGCTTTCTAAATCTTTCAAATTGAATTCAGATTTTAAAAGATTCTTTAGTTTTATGATTTGAGGATTGTAGGGGCTAGCTAAAAGTATATCATCAGTATAAAGGAGTAAGTAGACTTAACACCCATTCTTTATGTTATTATAGTATAGACCAGCATCAAAATCACTTCTTTTAAAACTTATCTTTAGTGCATATGTATCAAACCTTTTATACATTGTCTGGGGCTTTGCTTCTATCCATGCAATTATTTCTCCAATTTACATACATAATCAGTCTTGTTCTTGGCCTTGAAACTTTGAAGCTAGCTTATGAAGATATCTTCTTCTAACCTCCATGTAAAAAAGTAGTTTTAACATTAAGTTGTTCAAGTCTCCAATTGAATTGAACAACAAGTGTTAGGACCATCTTAATTATCTTACACTTGATTATAGGTGAGAATATTTCATTGTAATCAACCATTTCCCTTTGAGTGTACCCCTTTGCCACTAACCTTACTTTAAACCTCACAAGTTTGTAAATCCATTTACATTGGACGATGATATGATCTTTAGGTTTTTTAACAAGTTTCCATGTTTTATTTTCAATTAGAGATTATATATCTTCCTGTATTGTGTTTATATAGTATTCAAATTCTTTCCCATTAACTGCTTCTTCATAAGAAGCTGGTTCAGCTTGTTCAAGAGCTTCTCTTGATCCTAAGGCAAAGCCAGTCAGATTTAGAAACTCATACCTAGGATTAGGTCTGACTTGTCTCTTTTCTCTATCCCTAGTGAATTGGTAATCTTGAATAGTGGTGTGTTTAGTGTCATGATTATGTTCTTTCGATTCAATCTCAGTTTGGGGTTCATTCTCGTCAAAAGGTTGAGGTACAGTTCAGATTCTTGATATACATGATTATTATCCTCTTCTTAAGGTTGAGGCAAATCAAACTTAGCCAACTTCACCTCACTCTGAACGGTTTTCTCATTTTCAGATTTGTTTGATTTATCAATATCTTGTTTTAGGCATGGAATTTTAGATTCATTAAAGACATCATTTCTGTTATTAATGATCTTAATATCTGGGACACCTAAAACCCATAACTTGTATCCTTTTACACCTTTTGGGTAGCATATCATCACATTTGATAGCCCTTAGCTCAAGTTTTCCTTTTGACTGATGTGCATGTACAGCACATCCAAAAAATCTAATGTATGTTAAGTTTTGATGCCCCTTATCCATAGTTCTTGTGGAGTTTGAAAGTCTATACTACTAGAGGGAGATCTATTGATCAAGTAGGCTACAGTGCTAGCAGCTTTAGCCCAGAAACCTTTGGCTAATTAAGAGCTAATAAGCATACACCTAACTTTGTTCATTATAATCATATTCATTCTCTCACCAATCCTATTTTGTTGGGGGTGTGTGTTTTATAGTTCTATGCCTCATTATTCCCTCTTGTTTGCAAAAATTGTTGAATTCAAAATTACAGAACCCAAGCCCATTATCAGTTCTTGATTTTTCAATTTTTTCTCTAATTGATTCTCTACAGCTTTTAGTCAAGTTCTAAACTTCTAAAACATCTCAGATTCAGCTAGTAAAGCATAAATCCAAACTTTTTTCTAGAATAATCATCCATAAGGGATAAGAAATATTTGCTTCAATCAAATGTGAAATATTTCTTAGGATCCCATAGATCAATATGTACATAGCCTAAGGGTCTATTGGTTCTATATGAGTTGGTTTTTAAACTTGCCTTGTGGGACTTACCCAACACATAAGTCTCATAGAAGTCCAATGTCTCAATATCATCTTTTACAAGTAATTTTTGGTCACTTAAAGATTTTAACTCTTTATTACCAATATGACCCATTTTGTTGTGCCAAAGTTCAGATTTATCTTCATTAACAATCAGTCGACTAGAATCAAGTGTAGTGATAGCTTTACCTTCAACGTAGTATAGACCATTTCTTTTAGGTCGTTTTATTACAATTAGGGAGCCTTTCATAATTTTTAGAACTTTATTAACATATTTGAAGGTATATCTCTCATTTTCAAGTGTCACTGATAAAATAAAGTTTCTTTTCAGATTTGGACATATCTCACATTCTTGATTGGCATGACGATGCCATCATACATTTTGATAGCTATGTTACCGATTTCAATTACATTTTGAGAATTATCATCTCATATATATACCTTTTCTTGGTTTTGTTTCTTTGTAATTTTCAAACCAAGACCTTTCAGGGCATATATGGAAAGTGCACCTTGTGTCTAGAATCAAGTTTTTATTAGGCTCTTCATTTGACACATTTAGTACATGCAGGCTATCTACTTCAGATACTATGACAGCATTACTTAATCATTATTGTTCAGTTCTTTCTATTTTTTTCGGTTAAAGTAATCTCTCTTAAAATGTCCTAACTTTCCACAGTTATATCATTTCTTGTTACTTTTATCTTTATATTTAATCTTCCTCTTTCCTTCTTACTCTAGAAGTTAAATTCTTTCTTCTCAGTTCCCCCCTTTACAAATAGATTTTCTTTTCTCAAGTTGGTTCTATTTTCTCTCTTTTCCTCTCTAAACCTTAATGCATCTATCACAATTGCTTATGTAAGGTTATAACTAGCATATTTTATAGCATTCCTGACATCTTTATATGATTTAGGTAATGAGTTTAGTAATATAACAGCTATGTCCTCATCTTCAAATCTGTACTAAACTTCAACTGCTTCTCAAAGTGCTAAGTGGAATGCTCTACATTTTATTGCTGGGGTGGCGCCTCTTAGGCTCATGTGAGTTTTGTACGTGTTCATATGTTTTGTTGGGTCGCCTTTTCCATCATACTTTGGTATTTTTGGCATAACATAGTGGCTCAGCACTTGGGCATTCCTCGGTTCTCTAGAAAATGGGAGATTTTCATCATCTTCCTCTAAATCACAAGATTGTTGGGGTTCATCCGAGTCATGTTTTTCATTGGCCTCATATCTGGGTACTGTGGATGAGAAGGGTCTGCTTAGTTCCTAGCCTTTTTTTCCCTCATCTGATGCCTATTTCTAGGCGGAGAGCACTGGGGGCATTTTATTACCTTAACTCTGGCTATTAAGTTGTAGGAGGTGGGGGCTGTGGCCTAACTCGAGGCTTCGGAGGTTGCTGATGCTGTCTGTGCCTCGGTTCGGATGGGTTGATTCTGTCAAACATACTGCTGGACCTCCTAGGCTTGTGTTCTGGTTCAAATTATGGTAAGAAGTTGTCCTCTATGTTGAATGGGACTTCGGTGGGTTGGCCTAAGGCATAATTGGAAGAAATATTAACTCCCAAATCTCTTTCAATGGAGCTAACTCCCCTGCCATGCCTAGATGACGTAGCTCGCTGGCTTTGCACCTCATCTTCTTGCTGATATTATCTTTGAGGTGCTTAGGTAGGGTAAGATAACCTCCCTGGCCCTGCATTTACATCAAAAGTTCTTGCATGGCTAAATTTTGGTTTGTGATGCTCTTTATGTTGGTTGCCATGGTAGCCATTTTTCTCATGATTTGGGTAGCCATTCGCATTCTACCTCATTTGTTGTGGTGGTAAGGTCGGCAACGACCAGCTACGACAGCTTCTAGAGGAACTGTGCCAACGTTTTCTCTTACCCTCCTAGGGTATACATCTTCATCAGAACTCATTTTTCTACCCTCCAACTCAAATCTGACCAACTTATGGGACTTCATCTTGTTCTTTTTTTATGAACAAATCCTTTTTCAAGGGAGATGCCCAATCATCCATTCAATAAGTTTTTTTCCTGGGGTTTGCTCGTGGTTATAGTGTAGTTTCCCACAGACGACGTCAATCTGTTGACCTCATTTTTTGTTAGGGCCACTCGGACAATATATACCGATCCCACTAGCATACACGTAGGCCGAATCTGACATGTTAGGTCTAACCAACAATCTAGAATGCTCTAGAAATGGGGCGTGGGAGTAGACTTTCAACACGAAATGATAACGTTAGGAATCCGACGATGCATTTGTGGAATGGTTGTATAGTAATTACCAATTGTAATGAGTCAATGTAATGTAAAACCAGTTGTCTTGTAAGAGAACAAAGTAAAGAGTGTTTTTTTGTATTTAATATTGCATTAGTCTCACAAGTGTTGTATGGGGGAGTATTTATAGTGATACAAGTGAATTGAGGGAGTATTTATAGTTGTCCATGCGAATTGATGATAGCTCATTATGATAAAAAATTAAGTTATTCAACAAAATCAACAAATTTCTTGAGATGTTGGTTATAATATAAAGTTAAATCAATGAACAAAGTATAGAGAAAAAAATGAAAAGAGAAGAGTTTAGAATTTCTTGATTATATTTACTTCTAATTATTTTAAATTTTGTTACTAATAAATAATGCCACCTAGAATGGTTTTATTGAAAAAGAATAATCAAATGAATAACCTATTGTGCAGGAAGTAGCCTGCGGAGAGAATGTGTTTAGTAACCTCAACAATCGATGACTGAATGACAATTACGAAGGACAAGAAACCAATTAAGTCTAACTAGACATCATAACCTTAAACTCATCAAAATTGAGTTGTCCATCCCCATTGATATCATAATGAGCTATCATCAATTCGCATTCCTCAAGGGTTTTAGATTCTCCTAATCTACTAAGCATTCTCTTCAAACTCTTTGGTGTTATACAACCACTCCCCTCCATTTCATACATTGCAAAGGCCTGCTTCAAATCATTTGCCTTTTCTTCTTCTCCTGCTCCTTCAACTAGCTTCACAAAATCCTCGAAACACAACAATCCATCTCCGTCTGAGTCCATCAATGTGACGGCCACCTCTGCCTCTTCTATGGACATCTCCCAACCTAATGAGCCAACGCACTTTTGAAGTTCACAGGGCGATATTTTCATGTCTCCATTTTCATCTAAGTGGTTGAATACTCGTTCATATTGCTTGTATTTGTCCATTAATTGATTTGGAAAAACTGAACTCAACCCTGAACGAAAGATAAAAACTACCAAGTTGGATAACTGCTGGAAGTAGGAACAAAGTGAAGAACTAATGCCCAGATAACAAAGAAAATAGGTTACCAATAACAAAAAAAATATGTCGAGTAGAGCCCAAATTTACTATAAACAAGCCCTAATTCGTGAAACTGTTAAGCCAAATATGCTCCAAGAACCAAACACAGAGAGAGACGGAGAAATATGAAGAACGGAAGAAAAGACTGCAAGTTTCTGAACTGGAAATGGGTTGAGAAATGCAGTATATATAGACGATAAGAAACGCGTAAAGGGACTGCTAATTTCAGGGTTTGACCGAAAAAAAATTTGTAAAAGAAAAGGAGACCCCCTCGTACGGGTTTGAGAATTAACCAGGAAGTGTCCGATGTCCTTATTACAAGAAGAAGAAAATAGAAATACGTGTAACGTGTTCAAAATGATTAAGACTTTATAAAAACAATAACAAAATAATATAATTGTCAATAAAAAATAAAATTCATTGAATATTATTAATTGCTTTAGAACCGCCATGACTGTAACAAATAAATATACAGGTATGTGACGACACGTTTATGGAAAAAATAATGTTTTTTGTTGACATTGCAAATATCTTATTTAGCCCCCGTTTGATCCCCATTAAATTCAATTACATTACATTTATTTTTCTCTCTCCTATTTTCAATCAAACAATCTTTCATAAAATAATATTACACGTAAATCGAAAACTTTTCCTTCTTTTTCAACCACTCACTTTTCTAAAAAATACTATTCCCCCCATTTTCATTTTCAGTTAATGGGGGTCAAACGAGGACTTAGATAATCAAGAATGGGTTGAATAACCAAGGCCAGATTGGGTTTTCCAATCGTATTTTTATGAAAAGTAAAATTGTAAAAATGGAGGGATATTGCCTTGACGTCAGTTATATTATGTAATTATGATTCTAATTATGAAGTGTGAGCTAGATTCATTTGTTACTAAAGAATCGTGCATTTTGTGAAGAACTCACGTTCTCTTTAGTTTTCTCCACACGAAAAAGAGAATCAGTCATTATCTTTTTACGTCTAATTTTGTTATTAATAAAATCATGCGACCAAGATAGGTTACATTTAAAAATGAAAAATTAAATGAATAACCTATTGTGCACGATCCTGCATGCACAAACAATGTGTTTAGTAGCCTATACAATCGATGAATGTGAAGGACAGGAAACCAAATAAGTCTAACTAGACATCATAACCTTAAACTCATCAAAATTGAGTTGTCCATCCCCATTGATATCGTAATGAGCTATCATCAATATTATCTTCACATTATAAAACCTTAATAACTGGTTTTTCTTTTTCTTTTTTTATACTTTTAAAATAAGTTGGGAAAACCACATAACTACTATATTATAAAAACATATTTCACTATAGTAGAGAGAGAGAGAGGTTTATGCACTGTAAAGATAGAGAAAGGCGGTTTATGGCATAAATAGAGACGGAAGGGCTTTGAATGACGGGTGAGTACGTGCAAAGAGAGACGTGATATGAAATGCTGTGAAATTGAAATATGGACGGTCCAGATTGCATCACATAAATGAACAATTAATTTATAATAAACTTATTTTTATTAATTTTAAAATAAATAATTAACATCTGATTTTAGAAATTTAAACTTAATCACCCTAATTTTGAAATGTAAAGTTTATAAGTAGGGTTTTGCGTTATTTTACGAAATAACTTTCGACTTGATTGAATTATAGTATAATCTTTTCTCCTTTATGTTTTTCCGGCTCTATATTATATTAAAAGCTACTCAGAGGACACGTTTGTGTCATCATATGGTTTTGGGAGGATGCCAAATTGAATTGTATAAATTAGAAGCCGCATTAAAATGGAGAGAATAATGCCTTTCCCACCGAAAAGAGGATAAAATGAAAACTACCAAGCTCCAGTGAGTACACGCAAATTTCGATGGAACACTGAAATGCGTAGAGATAAAAGAAATTTGAAGAACTGATGAAAATGCTAATAATTTCTGAACTCAAAATAGCTCGACGCAGTTTATATATATAGGTACTGGGGCGTGTACCTGATAAGAACGCGTACGTCGACCAAAATAATATAACTTGTATAAAGGGATATTGGCTGTAGGATTAAACAAGAAAAGAAAATAAGACCGTTGACTCATTTTGTATCGTAATGTCCAGCTTTGAAATCAAAAAAGAAGGGTAGGAAGAGAAGTCGAATGCGTGTTCAAAACGGTTAAGAATTTGTAAGAACAATTAAACTTTGAAACATTTTCCTGAAAGAAATCCATAGGAAAATAAATTTTACAGTATTATCAATGAATTGTTCTCGAAACTTCATAGCTGTAATAATCGCTGAAATTTAAGCCCCGTTTGGTCCCATTATTTGAAATTATAATTTTTCTCTCTTATTTTTAACTACAATTTCCCATGACATAATATTACACATAAATTGAGAAAAAAAATCTTATTTTTCAACTATTATTTCAAAAATTACAAATTGAAATAATGGGAGCGAAATGGGACTAAATGTAAAGTTTGACACAGGGACGTGTGGCTAAGCATGCCCGAGGGAGAGGGAGAGGGAGTGGGAGAAGAAAGTTCTCTTTTGTAGTGAAATGTCTTCTAAATTTTTCTTGACCGTCTGACAAACATAATTTATAATTTTATTTTTTGTATGAATCTAATTTTATATTAATGGAAATCAGTCCAATAACCATTATTTTTTACAACCAATTAAACGTGTTTAGATCATTAATTTTCTTCTCTAATAGCCATAGCCGTCTAGCCCAAAGGATTAAGAGAAACCCAAATTCCCAATTCCAATTCGTCTCTCAACATTCACCGTCTCATTCTGGTCGTCGACGCCGCCTTCTAATCCATCATTGTATTTGTCTTTGAGAACACTTTGAATTTTAAGGTAGTGAGGTTTGTTTGTTTATAAATACATATAATTTCTAAAAGAAAGCTGACCCTTCTGTTGGAATTTCTTCATTTTTTGAATTTCTCAAAATTCAACCTCACAGTGCCACGATAGAGGAAGATAGGCAATACCGACACCACTTTTCCCAGTTTGCCCACAGACATTATCATCCCACACCATTCCTCGTTTAGCCAGTGCCACTTTTCCCTGTTTGCACACGGACATCATCCCACATTTGGACAAATGATGAAATTGAACTCGATATTATCAACTTATATCGAGCTACAGTGCCCACAAGGATGATCGCACTGTTGACACAACACACACACATGAGGATCAGGATTATTTTATTCACGGGAGACCCACACCTCGACTATGAGTGCGCGTCATCCACGCTATAGCCGACGCGGGTTGAGTGACTTAATTCTATTAACTTTTGACAATGACTCATTCGTTTATATTTTATTTGTTAGTTTGGACTTTTATAATCTTAATTTTTGATAATTTGAACTTGTTAAATGTTTGATACTTATATTTTTTATGTAAGTACATGTTACTAACTTATAGATACTGTGCAAAACTGAAAACTTAAGTAATAGTACTAATCTACTAGAACCAAACCAAACTGAACCAGGACTGAATGGCTCGATTCGGTTTGATTCCACATCTTAAAAAAAATCATTCAATTTCATTATCAGAAATATTATTAGTTCATGGTTCAGTTCGATTTCTTAGAATCAAAACCAAATAGAAACACGTCCACCCCTACTTTAAATAAATGGTGGGAGGATAATTTATAAGTTAAGCAATAGCTGGGTTATTTTTGGAAATTAATTTCGAAATGTTTTTGACCCTTTGAATATCAACGTTTTTTGCAACCATTAAAAGACCTGACACACTTCTGTCCATTTGCAATTTTTTTAACAATTAATTTACTGTTTAAATTTTGAAAAGCTGGCAAAAAATTGGAATAATGGGGCTCAATAGAATATTTCGAAATTAACATTTATAATGCAAAATTTTGGTAAAATATATTATAAAATAGTATTTTTGAGAAACAAGTGATTAAAAAAAAGATTTTTTTTATTTACCTGTAATATTTTTTTAATGAAAAATGTGTTGTGTGTTAAAAATTTAAAGGGTATCAAATAAGAGCTTAGTTCATTGACACCGGCCTAAATAACAAAATTCTTTGTTGGGAAAATTAACACTTCAGACAATCCAGTCGAGTGTTAAAAAAATGAAGAATCAATCATAGGATAAAAATACTTGAAATTGATCAAGAATTCCAATCGTATATTATTTAAAATAAAAAGAATTTTTTTTTTTTTTTTTTTTTTTTTGTGAAAAAAGCTATCTATCCCGTACAAATCTCTAAAAGTCAAGACAAAATTTCAGAATTACACAAAAGTCACTTTATAGAAGTCTTTTAAAATACAATTTGGATTGCATTAAAATGGAGATCTATGATGTCTTTCCCACTGACCACATGAAGAATCAACGTTGGTCGACTGCCTGAAAAACGAGTTAATTTCACTTCGAAGTTTGTAAGAAATTTTAAATTGATCATTAAAATATTTTCTTCCTAGTTTTATAACGATTTAAGAAATAATCAATCAATTAGGAAAAAATGTAGGCCATGTTCAGTAGGGATTTTGAGAATTGACTTTTTTACCGTTAGGAAAAAGTGGGGGCCACCTGCAAAAAAAGAAGTAAAAAATTATGACTGAAATAGTGAAATAGCGGTTAAAAATCAATTTTTTTGGATAAAAAATCACTCCCAAACACCCCCCCCCCTTCGCAACTTAAAATCCATCATGTTAAGTGTCACAATAGAATAAACAATGATAAATCAAATTGTCGTACTCAATTTGTATAGCTAATGCAACAAGCCCAACAATATAAAATCCATCTTCCATCTCATTCCCTAACACTAACGATAACCCACATTAAATAGCAAGGAAAGCATCGTGTTAAGAAAATAACGTCACTTTCTCCACACGTCAAAATTTATGATGACACATTACATTCTAATTAAATGATTATCTGCGAAATTATTAACTCATTTTTTGTTACCAATTTAAAATTTCCTATAAACTTAATTGACAATTGGTGGAATTAACTTGCCTTAAAGCATTGACATATTCCCAGTTGGAAGTTGCTCGGGAGCTTGAGTCTGGACTCTATTGGGGAGAAGTTGACTTTGTTGTTATTACGTGGGTTTCGATTGTTATTAAGCTGTTGTTTTGTAGAGATTTTTTAAAAATTCATTTTCAATAATATATTTTACGAGATTCATAATTTTTTCTTATTTTTTATTTATATATTCTCCTATAGAATCTCTCAAAACAAGCGTTAAGTATGAAGCCGCATTAAAATTTGTCAATTGCCTTAAATATCATATTCTGATGCTCCGCCGCATTATGATAAATATTTTTGACTATTGGAAATTTGAGTTATGCATAATTAATTTTATGCGTATACACGTTTCTTGTAAAAAAGTCTATTGACTCTATTCCATTAATTTATTGTTTAAATGTTACCATTCTTTGCCACATTCCTGATATTTAGGACAATTGGAGTTTTTTGCTGCAAATAAAACCCAACTTCCTTGAAGACTCGATGAACTTCTTCTTACTGAAAATACTTTAGGATTCAATGGTTTTTACCTTGAGGCTGATCATCTTAGTGGCAATAAATTTAATTCAACTATCCTAAAAAAAGGTTGAACCCTAACCTTAAGGGCCCCCACCGACCCTGTCCTGGGCCATCGTGGAGAAGGTAAATCGCAGGATGTGCCTCCCAGGAGCCAGGGTGGAGAGCACATGGATAAGTCAAGACTGTTAACCCATATGGTAACTCCCGATTGCAACAAAGTCAATTCCACCTTGCGGGGAATCGAACTCTGTACACTGTCGCGCTGAGCCCTATCCGCCCTCCCCTTTGCCACTGGGAGATATGCCCTGGGGGCTTAATTCAACTATCCTAACTATTTCAAAAGTTCTTATAAGGAGGAATGGAGTTGATGTGGATGCAGGAAAATTGGGGTTGAAGAAGGTGGAGGAAATGACGTGATGGCTGACACTGTGGTGGACTCAGTTCAGATGATGGTGGTGATAATTGTTGTGAGGCTCACCATCAGGGGAAGGATGTTTGTTCCATGAGCAGATAAGGGATTGAGGTTTGGCAGGTAGTGAAATATAAGTATTTTTTATGAACTAACATATTTTTTTAATGAAAATATTTAATTGTCCTTCTAGTGTACTTTTAGAAGCTTTGCAACCACAACATTTTGGAAAGATTGGAGACATTTGATGCTATTTACCCTTTTTCAATTAATTAAAGATTAAAAGACCATCGCATCCGTTTCAAAATTGATCAATTTTTGGTCAAACGTTAAATTTTGGCCAACCAATGAATTTTTGGACGAAAGTCATCCAGATACCCTTCATCAGACGCACAATTTTTAAAGGTTTGAAACTACCTGCTAGAAATTAAATATTTGAGTATATCCTACACTATAAAAAGTTTGAAACATCTGCTACGAATTTTCCTTCTAAAGGGAATCTTCCAAAGGTGTGGTGTGCCAACTACTATAGTGATAATTCAACATGAGAATCATACAGGAAGTCGGTAGGAGCATTATCCTGTGTCCCGGAGGAAGGGCATTTTCCCACCCCAAACCTTTAAAAGTTAAATTATTTAAATATATTTGGCAAACTAAGATTTTTATTATTTATCATATTTCTTAAATAATCTTAGTTGCTATCTAGAATTAATGAAATTTTGTGAAATTTTTTCCATTTAAAGTTAAAGTATTGAATTTTTTAAGAAAAGAAAAAAAATTAAACGGACCAAAATTACCCCACTTTGTACCCGATCCGATTACCCGATTAAGTGAGTAATTCCCGCCCTATTCGGGGTAGGCCTCGCAAGAATCGGGTTTCGTGGGTATGTGTACAATCCCTATATTTAAAAGACTTTTTAAACATAACATACTCTCTATTTTCGAAAGTCAACCTTTGAAATCATGCAATCTTTAAATTAACATTTTAATTTAGAGAGTGTTTAACTCTCCAAATTAAATGTGTTCAAAGCATTTCAATTTTTAATGTAGAAAAATAATAAAATAATCCAAAGAAAAGTTAGTTAAAATGAAATATAGAAAAAAAATAATAAATATTTTTTTGAAGTAGTAAAATTAAGTGTTAAATATAAATAGCTTCTTGGAGTTCTTTCAAAATTTTAACTCTTGAAATTTATAAATATTTTTCAAATGATAAAATATGTCCTTTAAAAATATAGAGTCACTTCGAAATACTAACTCAAACTTCTACTAGATAATAATACGTGGCGTAGAGAACACACCGTCAAGGATAGAAATATGCCCAACCCAACCACGTTTTTATTTCTTTAGTACTTCAAAATTTATTTTGACGTTTGAAAATTGTAATTTTTTTTATTAATTCTGTGTCAAGCAATAAAAAATTATTAGTAAATACTAATTTAGGCCCTATTTGAGCATATGTTTTTTGAAATGAGAGTATTTTGGAAAATGTTGATTAAAAAGTATAGAAATTTTTTGGATTTAAGTACTAGTTTATTGAAAAAATATATATTAAAAACGAATTAAAAAAAAACTTTAAAGAATGAGGTTCGAACATGGATTGGACTTGATGATTGATTTACTATAAATCGGGGTCATCCTTCCTATTCAAAAATTTGACGCACTTATTTGATAAATAATCATGATCTTTAATTTAAGTCAATCCAATGATCAATATCAAGTTCACTAAAATTATGGAAGAATTTGATATAACAATCAAATAACAATAACGATTAGTCTCTAGCATTATGACACACATCAAATATTGTAGCATTAGTACGGTCAAGATTCAAAAAATTTTGAGAATCGTATATTTATTGTTTATAACAATTCCCACCAATAACAATGATAGTTGAATATATTTTTAAGTATATATGTCCCATTCTAGTATAAATTAATACTACCATACCCCTTTCTTCCATATATTGTTCCAAATGAGAGTCAGTCAATTCTACATTTAGATATGAATCCAATTTTAACAACTCTTAAATTGAAAGTAGGCATCTCAAATTCCCAAAAGGAGGGTTTCAATTCTTATAGTAAAATTTAAAAAATAAGTTGGCGCATGGACTACTTGGCTAGGTTCACGAGCCATAGGACTGAGTCGAGCAATATTTTTGCACACAGACCTTGCTTGGCACATCAATAGGACCAAGTCAAGCTCAAGAGTTTCAAGGCCGAGCTGGGATGGCTTGGCCATTGCCACCCCTACGTATATCACCATCACGTTATTCTATCCACAACCGAAATCCCACATTGCCTTGCACCCCAAATGCGACATGACCATGGCGTAAGGGTAATGCATGCCTATGCCGTAGCCTATGTTAGCTTTAAGGGGCTGACATACATCCTCAAAAGTAAAAAGAAAAAAATAACAGTAAAATAGTTCACGTTTATTAGCGGTTCAATTTGAACGTGGGAGCTAAATTCATTTATTGCTAAATAATTGTGCATTTTGTGAAGAACTCACGTCTCTCTTTAGTTTTCTCCACACGAAAAGGAGAATCACTCAATATCTTTTTATGTCTAATTTTGTTATTAATAAAATTATCAACCACAAGTAGTTATATTTAAAAATGAAAAATTAAATGAATAACCTATTGTGCACGAAGTAACCCGCACAAAACCTATTGTGCACGAAGTAGCCCGCAGAAACAATGTGTTTAATAACTTATACAATCAATGAATGAATGACAATTATGAAGGACAGGAAACCAATTAGGACTAACTAGACATCATAATCTTAAACTCATCAAAATTGAGTTGTCCATCCCCATTGATATCGTAATGAGCTATCATCAATTTACATTCCTCAATGGTTTTAGCTTCTCCTAATCTACTAAGCATTCTCTTCAAACTCTCTGGTAATATACATCCACTCCTCTCCATTTCATACATTGCAAAGGCCTCCTTCAAATCATTTTCCTTTTCTTCTTCTCCGGCTCCTTCAACTAGCTTCACAAAATCCTCCAAACGCAACAACCCATCCCCGTCTAAGTCGATCGACGTGATGGTCGCCTCCGCCTCTTCTAGGGACATCACCCCACCTATTAAGCCAACACACTTTTGAAGCTCAAAAGGCGATATTTTCATGTCTCCATCTTCATCGAAGTGATTGAATACGCGTTCATATTGCTTGTATTTGTCCATTAAATGATTCGGGAAAACTAGACTCAACCCCGAACTAGCGATAAAACTACCAAGCTGGAGTGCGAACACGCAAATTTTGGTGGAAAGGTGAAATGCGTAGAGATAAAAGAAATTTGAAGAACTGATGAAAATGCTAATAATTTCTGAACTCAAAATAGCTTGACGCAGTTTATATATATATATATAGGCACTGCCTGCTGCGGCATGTACCTGATAAGAACGCGTACGTCGACCAAAATTATATAACTTGTATAATGGGATATTGGCTGTAGGATTAAATAAGCAAAGAAAATAAGACCGTTGACTAATTTTACATCGTAAAGTCCAGCTTTGAAATCAGACGAACACGTGTTCAAAACGGTTAAGAATTTTTAAGATCAACTAAACTTTGAAACATTTTCCTGAAAGAAATACTTAGGAAAATAAATTCTACAGTATTGTTAATTAATTGCTCTCGAACCTTCATAACTGTAATGACCACTAAAATTTAAGTCCCATTTAGTTCCCATTATTTGAAATTATAATTTTTCTCTTTTATTTTTAACCACAATTTTTCATGACATAATATTAAACATAAATTGAAAAAAAAATCTTTTTTTTCAACTACACATTCTTCAAAAAAATGTTATTTCAAAAATTATAAATGAAATAACGGGAGCCAAACGGGACTAAGCCCCCGTTTGTCCCCCATTAAATTCAATTACATTACATTTCGAGTCTGTTTGATTGCGAAGATGAAATTTGGGTGGAAAGAAAATGAATTACAGGGAATTGAATTACCTAGATATTGTTTTCCTGAGAATTGTAAATTATTGTGTTTGATTGGTATAATTTTCCACGTGAAAAATATTGAAGTAAAAGTATTTTTTGGTGTTCGTTTGACTTTATTTTACATGAAAATTATCAATTTAAGGGATATCCACTTCTACCATTGTACCTAGAATTTGTTTCTATTGCCAAAAAAAAAAAGATTAAAAAATCATCTATATTTTAGTGTTCGTTTGACTTTGTTTTACATGAAAATTGTCAATTTCAGGTATATCCTCTTTTACAATTATTCCTAAAATTTGTTCTCATTGCCAACAATTAAAACATAAAAAAAAGTGGAAAACCAAAAACCACCAACCTCTAGGAAAATAAATGGTGAAAAATCACGCTTTAAAGTGTTGTACCTAGAAATACATAGAAAAGCAATTTACTGGAAAATTTTGTCAATCAAACCGGCCAAAAGTTAAAGTTGGAATTCGAATCCCAAGCTCCATGGAAAATTTTGTGCAATCAAACGGAGCCTTCATTTTTCACTCTCCTATTTTCAACCACACAATCTTCCATAAAATAATAATATACGTAAATCGAAAACTTTTTTTTCTTTTTCGATCACTCATTTTTCAAAAAAATATTATTCCACTCATTTTTATTTCTAGAAAATGGGGCCAAACGGGAGCTAAATATAAGTTGGATACACAGACGCATGGCAAAGAATGCCCAACGGAGAGGAAAACAAAGCTCTCTTTTGTAGTGAAATATCTTCTAAATTTTTCTTGACCGTCCGATCACTTTTGCATGATTTTTTAGGGCGTTTGAGCCCCATTATTCCAATTTTTTGCCAATTTCATTTTCTTCATTGTGGGGGCCACATTGAGTGAATTGCAGGTAATTTCCAGACAAACACCATCAATGATTGACTATTGGAGAGTTTTGACAGGTACCCAAATCTGATTTCTCAGTTTACCCTTCAAACAAATGGTGGGAGGATACTTAAAAGTTAAGAAATAGCAGGGTTATTTTGGAAATTAATTTCGACAAACGAGGATGTTCGTTTTTTGCAACCATTAAAAGGCCTCACACACTTCTGTCCAAAAATTGAAAACCTGGCAAAAAATTGGAATAATGGGGCTCAATAGAATATTTCGAATTCAACATTTAGCTCTTATTTGATCCACATTATAATGCGAAATTTTGGTAAAATATATTATAAAATAGTATTTTTGGGAACGTGTAATTAAAAAAAATATGTAATATTATTTTAATAAAAAATATATCGCGTATTAAAAACTTAAAAGGTGTCAAATAAGGGCTTAATTTTATGGACTCTGGCCTAAATAACAAAATTCTTTGTTGGGAAAATTAACACTTCAGACAATCTAGTCGAGTGTTAAAATAAACGAAGAATCGATCATAGGATAATAATACTTGAAATTGATTGAGATTTCCAATTGTATGTTATTTAAAATAGAAAGAAAAAATTTCTGTGAAAAAAGCTATTAATCTTGTACAAATTTCTAAGGGTCCGTTTGATTGCAAATGTAAAATTTAGATGGAAAGAAAACGAATTGAATAGAATTGAATTATTTAGAATTTATTTTAGTAGAAATTATCAATTAATAGTATTTGATTGGTATAATTTTTCACCTGAAAAATGTTAGAATAAAAGTATCTTTTGGTATTCGTTTAACTTTATTTTTCATGAAAATTTTCAATTTAAAGGATATTCATTTCTACAATTGTTCCTAAAAATTTTTTCCATTGCAAAATAATAATAATAATAATAATAATAATAATAATAATAATAATTTATATTTTAGTATTCGTTTGACTTTGTTTTACATGAAAATTGTCAATTTAAGGGATTTCATCTTTTCAATTGTTTATAGAATTTGTTTCCATTATCAAAAAATTTAAAAAAAAAAAAAAAAAAAACCAAAAAAATAAAACCACCTACCCCAAAGAAAAATTAAAAAAAAAAAAAAAAAAGATCGAAAACATAAAACCACCTACCCCATAGGAAAATGAATTCCCCAAAAACCAAGAATTGGTGCTCGTGTAAGGCAAAGATGGAAAATGAATTGGTTGGAAAATTTTGATTATCGAACAAGTCAAAAGTGGGAAATGAAATTTGTTTTCCATTCTCCATAGAAAAATTGGCCTATCATACATAGCCTAAAAGTCAGATGAAAATTCAGAATTACACAAAAGTCACTTTGTAAAAGGTCTATATAAGTCTTTTAAAATACAAAATGGATTGAATTAAAATGGAGATCATAATGTCTTTCCCACTGCCCACATGAAGAATCAACGTTGGTCGACTGCCTGAAAAACGAGTTAATTTCACTTGGAAGTTTGTAAAAAATTTTAAATTGATCATTAAAATATTTTCTTCCTAATTTTATAACGATTTAAATAATCAATAAATTAGGGAAAAAAGAAAATCTAACTTAAAATCCATCTATAACATATTAAAATATCACATAAAGGGAGAATAATTTTTTGAAAGATTTTAACCCCTTACAATTCAATTATTTTAATAATATCTTACTTTTTTGTTTTTTGATATGTAATAAATACTACATAATTATTGTCATTTATTAAATTTGTGTTATTAATTCTCAGTTAATTAATATTCACATAACCTAGATTCAATGAATTTTCACTTGATGAAAATCTTGAATGTAACTCTAGAGTCGTTATAGAAGAATTTATTCGCATTCATGTATCTAGAAATTTTAATATATGTTTAAATTTATATATTAATAATTAATTTTTATGTATCAAATGTAATATAAAAAGATTGATCGTTTATAATATTTCATCATTACAAAAAAGTTGACTCATAGAAATTGAGTTTTGAGAGTACAATTTTCTTCTCTTCTATTTTTATGCTAAATTTTATTTTCTTTAATTCGTCCGAAACTTATCAAATCCTCCAACAAAATGGTACCAAATATAACTTTATATAAATATTTTAGAATAACGTGTAATGCACGTTCAACTTTAATTAGTCATGTTAAGTGTCACAATAGGCTAAACACTGATAAATCAAATTGTCAAACTCAATTCGGATAGCTAAAGCAACCATTATGCCCAACAACATAAAATCCATCTTCCATCTCATTCCCTAACACTAAATTAAATAGCAAGGAAACACATGATTATGATTGGATCAAAAAATTGAAAGACATAATTTTGCTCCATCGTGATAAGAAAATAACGTCACTTTCTCCACACGTCAAAATTTATGACGACACATTACATTCTAATTCAATGATTATCTGCGAAATTTTAAACTCATTTTTTGTTATCAATTTAAAATTTTCTATGAACTTAATTGACAATTGGTGGAATTAACTTGCCTTAAAGCATTAACATATTCCCAGTTGGAAGTTACTCTTGAACAAAGTCTATTCCATTAATTTCTTGGTTAAATGTTACCATTATGTGCCACATTCCTGTTATTTAAGACAATTGGAATTTTTTGCTGCAAATAAAACCCAACTTCCTTGAAGACTCGATGAACTTCTTCATTATTGAAAATACATCAGGATTCAACGGTTTACACCTTGAGGCTGATCATCTTAGTGGCAATAAATTTCATTCAACTTCCTATTTCTTTTCAAAGTTCTTATTAGAAGGAACGGAGTTGAAGTGGATGCAAGAAAATGGGGGTTGGAGAAGATGGAGGAAATGAAGTGATGACTGACACTGTGGTTGACACTGTTTAGGTGATGGTGGCGATAACTATTGTGAGGCTCACCATCAAGGCAAATGATGTTTGTTCCATGAGCAGATTAGGGATTGAGGTTCGACAGATAGTGAAATATGAGTATTTTTTGTCAACTAACATATTTTTTAATGAAAATCGTTAAATGTTCTTCTAGCGTACTTTTAAAAGGTTTGGAACCACAACATTTTTGAAAGATTAGAAACATTTGATGCTATTCACCCCTTTTCAATTAATTAAAGATTAAGTTCCCGTTTTGTAGCAATTTTTCACTTCAAAAAATTAATTTTTTTTTATAGTTATTTCACTATTTCAACCGTTATTTTGACTTCTTCACTCACAGCTGAAACTTATTTTTCTCTCTAATGGTCAAAAATTCAATTCTCATAATCACTATCGAACAAACTCTAAAAGACCATTGTATCCTTTTCAAAATTGATCAATTTTTATCAAATGTTAACTTTGGTCAACCAATGAATTTTGGACGAAAGTTATCTAGATATCCTTTAGACGCGCAATTTTTAGAGGTTTGAAACTATCTAGTACGAATTAAAGATTTGAGTATGACCTACGCTCTATTAAAAAAGTTTGAAATATCTGCTACTAATTTTCCTTATAAACGGAATCTTCCAAAGATGTGGTGTGCCAACTACCATGGTTCAAATTCAACGGAATTCGGTAGGAGCATTATCCTGTGTCCCAGGAGTGTGGTTGCCGCCATTTTTAACGGTCCACACCCGATTCCTTTCTCACAATCATATTTACCTACCCATTTCTAGAAGCTTCGAGAACTGTTCCCACCACAAAAGAAAGCATTCTAAGAAGGGAAAAGCCATTCAAAGAAGGAATGGCTCCAGGGCGTGAGATGCCCCACCAAGAATGGGGCTTCATGTCCCAAACCCTGGAAAAATTCCCTGTCAATCCAGCAAACTTCGTCTAAGAATATGTTTAAAAAAAAAATTAAACATAAGATACTCCCTATTTTAAATAATTAATATTTAAAATCATGCACTTTTAAAATTAAAATTTTAATTTAGAGAGTGAGTTTAGCTCTCCAAATTAAATGAATTCAAAGTATTTTATTTCTTTAGTACTTCAAAATTTATTTTGAAGTTTGAAGGCTGTAAATTTTTTATTAATTCTGTGTCAAGCAGTAAAAAAATATTAATAACTATTAATTTAGGCCCCATTTCAGCATATATTTTGTAAAATGAGAGTCTTTTGGAAAAATGTAGATTAAAAGTATAGAAAATTTTGGGACGTAAGTACTATTCAATTGAATTAATATATATTTAATTTTATTTTTTTTAAAGAATGAGGTTCAAACATGGATTAGACTTGATGGTTCATTCATTATAAATCGGGACGATTTCTCCTACTTATAAATTTGACAAACTTATTTAACAAATAATCGTAATTTTTAACTTAAATCAGTCCAATGATCAATATGAAGTTCATTAAGATCATGAGAGAGCTATAACCATTCGATATCCATTAAAATATTAAACGTTGGATCGATTTAAATTAAAAGTCACGATTATTTGTTCAATAAGTATGTCTAATTTATGAGTAAAGTGAACGATTTCGACTATAAATATATATGGAAATCTAATTGGGAATTGAATTGGAGCTAACTATTTTCTATAGTTTATGGTTCATCATTTAGGCAGCACCGGCGGGATGACATAGTAAGATATTCATAAATGTTTTCGTCTAAAACTTCGCCATTTTTGCCCCAGTTTTTAAAAATTAGTTTTTTAGAAAAATTCATTTTCAATGAATTAATTTTTCAAACATATATTTCATTCACTTTTATTAAAATTTACTAAAAAATTAATTGTTAACTACTTCATGTCTACTCCCTTTATCTTATATTTTGTATGACCAATATAATAATATGATCTAATGGGAATCAGTGCTTAACTTATATTAAGTACCGCATCGATGACATGATATATCATTTGATCGGTGAAAAAGTTAATGGCATGTTCTATGAATTTAAAGATTCATCAATTAATTATTGTGACATATCATCGGTACGTAACATAAAATAAGCATCGGTGCCCATTATATGGGACCTATGTGTTGAGGATTAAAATCAAATTTTAATAGAAAAATGAAAAAAAATAAACGATTGAAAGATTGAGAATTTCATGAAATATGAGAAATTAATTATTAAATTTGACTTAGATTAAAAAAAAAAAAGGATTTTAATCCCACTAATCATGTACTTAAATTTTAATTAGAACATCCTTCTCAATCTCAAGAAAAATTGGGTGGAGGCATAAAACGTAAATATTGGAGAAAAAACTGAGTGCAAACTATCAATCCACAGGTTCCCATAAATATATTGCAAACCCTCTTTTCACTCTTGCCTCTTTTCTTTATTTTTTCTTTTCCATTTTCAAACAACCCTCGTGTGATTTTGGGTCGCCGCCATGCCACTGCTGAGCCACCTGACAGTAGCGACGCGGCCGCTTGTTTCGCTGAGCCGAGCCTATGGATCAGCGGCTGCGGTTCAGCTGGACTATGATTACTACTATTGTGATAATGAAAAGGAACAACGGGGGAACGGGAAGCGGAGGGCAATGGAAGAATTGGAAGAGGGGTGGGATAGAGTGGCGAGGGGGGTGCAGTGGGTCATTATTGGTGATCCAGTCGCGAGGAGACACGTGTACGCTGAAAGGCTTTCCAAACTTTTGGATGTTCCGCATATTTCCATGGGAACACTTGTTCGTCAAGAAATGCATCCTCACTCCTCTCTTTACAAACAGGTTTAGTTTTTATTCTATCTTTTTCAAGAAATGCAATGAAATTGTGAAGACTTTTAAATTTGAAGAAGAAGAAGAATATAATTAAGTTCAATCTAAGAAATGGAAGCTCTTATGTTGTTCTTATAATCTCTGAATTTGAAATATCCATAGCTGAATGATAGTATTAATTAAAATTCATGAATTCCACAACTTTAAGCTGTTTGCTTTTCTGAAAGATTTTAGCTATTTTCCGAAATGAAAAGTAATTAGATCCGTTTGATTGCAAAGATAGAATTTGGGTGGAAAGAAAACGAATTTCAGAAATTGAATTGCCTAGAAATTATTTTACTAGGAATTGTCAATTATTGTGTTTGATTGATATAATTTTTCATGTGAAAAATGTTTAAATAAAAATGTTTTTTTTTTCATTTGACTTTGTTTTACATGAAAATTATTAATTAAAGGGATATAATTTATTTTCATTTTCAAAAAAAAAAAAATCAAGAAAATCATCTATCTTTTGGCGTCCGTTTTTACATGAAAATTGTCAATTAAAAGAAAATATTTTTTTACAATTAGGGATAGAATTTGTTTCCATGACAAAAAAATAATAATAATAATAATAAAATAAATAAATAAACAAAAAATAATAATAGAAAATCGACAGCCTACCTAGAAAACCAATCTTGGTGGGAATTGGTTTTCCTCGAAAACCAAGAAAATCAACACTTTCCAAGAAAATCATTCCATGGATAAAATATGTTATCAAATAGTCAAAAAGTCGAAGTTGAAATTTGAATTCCATTTTTCCATGAAAAATAACGGCCAATCTAACATGGCCTTAGAGAAAAGAATGGTATTAAAAGAGTTGAGATGTCAAATTCTTTAATAAAAAAAAAAAATAATAAAAAAAGGAGAGAGAAGAAATGGAAGCTTTGGGTCTTATGTAATTGTAGTATTATTTTCTATTTAATTTATGAAATCGCCCGCTGAAGACTATCTTTTGTACAATTTTACAGTTTTTATTTTTGGTTAGCGGTAAACTATTTTCTTTTCGTCTATGAGTTTTCAAGAAAAGAGAGGCGCAAGATTAGATTTTTCGTCTCACTTTTTTCCTTGACAATATTGCGTTGATAATGGTAGTTTCTTTATTTGTTCCAGTGATTGATTATCTTAATATTAAATCTGTTTGGTCTTAAAAACAGATTTCAAGTGCCGTAAACCAAGGGAAACTAGTACCTGAGGAGGATGTAATTTTTGGGTTGTTGTCGAAGAGACTGGAGGAAGGGCACTGCAGGGGTGAAACCGGCTTTATTTTGGATGGCGTACCTCGAACGAGAATTCAGGCTGTAAGTAATGATACTTTCTTCTTCTCCGTTCCTTTGGATGTACGGAGAGATTTAGGCCATGTTTGAGCCCTATTTTGAGTAAAAAAAGAGTTTTGTTAGTTATTTATTTAAGATTGTGCGGTTAAAAAGTAGAGAAAAGTTTTAGATTTACGTGCAAATTATTTTATAAAGAGAATGTGGTTAAAAATGAATTTGATGAAAAATAAGTTCATAAAAATTGGAGCTCAAACAAGGGCTTAGTTGATCAAGAGTTTTAAGCTTAACATTTGGTATCTCACTCATCTTGACATTTGGTATCTCACTTGTAAGTTTGTTTAGATGGATTAAATTGAATTGAAGTCCTCATGACATTGTTGAGTCCAGTTGAAAGGTCCTCTTTCGTGCTTTCGACATATAAGATTAATGCAGTTTTTACTCCTGGTATGCAATCTATGATTTGGATGCTGCACATTTATACATCTAAACCGCGATTTGTTTGCCTGCATCTAGTGTTATGATGCAATAGGAGTAAGATAAAACGATTAGTATTTTTGTGATTTTTCTTTTTTATCATTACTGTTCTCGAGAAGAAATTTGATGTATGTTGATGCACAGGGTTTTTAATACCTGAAGTTTTGGAACTATTACCATCCTGCAGGAAATCCTGGACCGAATTACAGATATAGACTTGGTGCTAAATCTTAAATGCACGGAAGATTTGGTAATGAAAAATCAAGGCAATGGAATTTATTCTCCTTCTCAAGATTTTCACTGCATGGCCGGATCAAGATTCAATTTAAGTCTTCAGCCCAGTGCTGACAAAGTTTCTGCCTGGAAGGAAAAGCTCCTTGCGTATGCAGAGCAGGTACTTCCGTTAGTCTTATGAAATGATGAAATGAATACTAACTGCCTATGTTAAAAAAAGAGTACCTAATGTTGTTTGTGTGAGTAACATGATACAAACCTTCCCAATCCAATGGACTCTTGGGAGCTTTAGTCAAAATACAAATGGAAAGATTGATCCATACAAACATAAGATTATGGTGGGCAAGACAGGTTCCTACACCGTAATTCTCAATGCAATTCGATTGTGGGTACCTTTTAACTCTTCACGCTTTTGTGGACTATAACATTTTTATCAACATGCTGTGAACTGTAAATTTAATTTCTTGCCTCACCTACAAGTATTGACGCCCTAGTAACTCAAAATTTTATTTTTGTTCAGAGAATGCCCGTAGAAGAATACTATAAGAAGCAGAAGAAGCTTCTCGAATTTCAAGTGGCTGGAGCACCGGGGGACACTTGGAAAGGTCTGTTGGCTGCATTGCATCTGCGGCACATGAATGCTCTCTGTTCTTCTCTCAATTCATCACAGAAGTTTGCTGCATGATTTTGATCCATTCGAGTTCTGATTTTCATTCGAGTGGTAGTAAATACAAAGAAAATATGGATGTAGGAGAGTTAGTTGGAGTTTTGTAGTAAGTACATCTATTTTTTGGCCAGACGAAAGGTTTAGTTTTTGTTCGTTTAGCATGTTCCAGTGAAATGAGTGTAATATCCAAATTCTCTCTTCTTCGCTTTATGCTTATGCTTTTTGGGTCACTCTGGAAGGGCCTTCAAAATTTGTTGCTAGCATCGGAGTTGTCAAGGCCTGGCTGGGTTTTTTATATATCTTTAATTAACTGCGTGTAACAGTTTGAAAAAATCTCAAACAAAAATTCCAAACCTAAGCTAACCCATTCTATTAATCAAACCAAACCGAATCGTAATTTAAAATTGTACTTCGGAAGTGCGAACCCTATTCAATTGGACTCATTATATGTTGAAAATTTAAAAATTGTCGTTTATTATTATTATTTTATTTTATTTTAATTATTTTTAATTCTTGAGTGGTTAGGTTTGGTTCAAAATCATATCATCCAACCTTTTCCAAAAGGGTTTAGTTTGGCAACCCAAATTGTGGTGGGGGACCAAGGAGATTCTTGTTAGTATCTGGGTTTCTTTGCTTTGCATTTTCAAGAAAATTTGATGACAAGAAGACGGAAAATGATATCTGCATTAAAAGTGGGGCAACTTCCAGGAGAAAAACAGAACCTATAGAATACAACTCAATCTCATTGTTAGGACAAGTGTTTCTCATCTGTATCTGAACAGGTGGAACATTATTCTTTAGAGTTGGACTAATGTCATGCCACAAACTGGTTCAGTGACGGGTTAAATATAGGGGAACATGTGGCGCAATATCATTAGACATTTCACGGGAACAGAAAATGAAAAAAAAAATTAATCGCACAGATGCTGCCAACATAACATCTATCAATATCCCCATCTCCAAATCCCGTTCAAGCATCATTATTATTAATTTGCAGCTCTCAAGCATGTAGAATCAGATTCTTAGAATTTTTCACATCGGCCTCACTTGATTGAATTTCTTCAAGATGCCCAACTCATTAGTGTTAACTCACTGCTCATCCATACTTCACGGAGGAGTTGATACCTGACAGCATTTTGGCTTCCATTTCTTTTTATATCCAGCTTGGATTTAGCGAAGAAAGTGAGTCAATAATGATAGATGTCATAGGTGAATCTAATTCATCTAGCTCGTCAACACTTGTGTATGATTGCTGTTATATGGGCTTCCAGCCTATGAAGAATAAAGACCCAATCCACTACTACAATTGGTCTGTAGGTCACATATGGGGCATAATTTTCTAATCGTGGCTGCTACAAGAGACAAACAGAGAAAACGAAGTTGCTCAACTGAAGGAAAAACGAGCCTGCTGTGTCTAGAGAAAATAGGGAAAAAAGGTTTTTTCTTTCAATCTTTAGTTGTAATTTCACATAGGTATTTGTCTACTTCTCTAAATGTTGTATTTTGGGTAGTCTAGAGGTGTAGTATTCAAAGTATATATCTCACACGTTTCATCAAACTAGTAGTTTGGGTGAGATTATTATTTTCTTAGAGATTGATCATTATTTTAGTTTTTAATTTGTTGAGAACTCGAGTTTTAAGCATATACCTAAGAGTTATATACTCTATTTATTATAGTGGATTTGATTGGAATTACCCCGTAGTTTTTTCCCTCTACATTGGAGGATTTTTTCCATGTAAAAATTTGGTGTGTTCTTTTCTTATTGCTCTCTTCATATTTAATTAGTGGTTTGCTTGGATTGTGAATTTATTCTTGCAACAAAGTGAATTTCCAAATAATGTGTATCAAAGTTCAGATTGTGTGGATTTGGTTCTATTGCAGGAGTAAATGGAGAATATTTTAGGCCCTATGATTAAACTACCAGCTTCAAATTATTCTATTTGAAAGCCTACGATGGAGGATAAACTTTATTATAAGGATTTACATAAAGTTATTGAAGGTGATAGTTCTAAACCAAGCAAAATAAATGATATTAACTGTAAGAAAATGAACAGGAAAGCCATTTGGTATATTAGAGAGTAGGTTGATCTTAATGTATTCCATCATATATCTCAAGAGACAAATGTCCATAACCTTTGGAAGGAAGACAATTCAAAATAAAGCTTTTGGTATTAGCATGTGAATCTAAAGTTGAAGAAAGGAAAATCAGTTGCTAAGGATTTGAGTGAATTCCAAGGCCTAGTAAATCGGTTGATCATAGTGAAAATAGTGCTAGTTGAGGAGATGCAATCACTATTACTTTTGAGTTCATTGCCTGATAATTGGGAGACTTTGGTGGTATTACTTAGTAACTCTACTTCGAGTGGTGTGCTTGAACTTACTACAGTTAATGAAAATTTGTTTAATTAAGAAATAAGAAGAAAATACTTGAGTAAGAATGATACACAAGCTCTTGTTAAAGAGAACAGATGAAGGATTAAAAGCAAAGGTCCTAAAGGACGTGATAACTTTAGAAGCCAGTCAAATGTAGGAGGAAAAATCAAATGATTTTACTATGATAAAGATGGTCATATAAAGAAACATTACATGACTTGGAAAAACAAACTAAAAGGGGAGAAAAATCAAAAGACTGATAAGAATACAATAGCTAGAGCTTTAGGTGAGGAAATAATAGCAGCAATTTTTCTACTAAATATAAGCAGTGTTGTCATGCTGCAGATCCGTTTGTTTAGTGGGTCATTGACTTAGCGACTTCTTATCATGTTACTCCAAGATGGGAGTTCTTTACTTTATACAAATCAGGTAACTTTAGCAAGGTGAAGATGGGTAATGATAATTTTAACAGCATTGTAGGAATTGGTGACATTTGTCTTTGACAAATATTTGATGTAACTTGACATTGAAGAATGTTCGACATGTTCCAGACATGCTTCTAAATTTGATATCTATACATGCCTTTGATGAAGCAGGGTATATTTTGGCAGCGAAAGATGGAAACCAATAAAAGGATAGATCGTATTTGCCATGAAATTGAAAATGATTCTTTACCAAACTTGTGGCTTAAGCAACGGGACCACATGAACGAGATGATTGTAGATTTTGGTCAAAAAGTCTCTTGTTCCTTTTACCAAATATATATTACTAAAATCATGTAATTATTGTTTACTTGATAAACGACATAGAGTTTTCTTTCAAAAGTCTTCTAGTAGAAAGTCTAATATTTTAGATTTGATTTATTCTGATATTTATGGCCCTATTAAGGTGGAGTCCTTAGATGGCAATAGTTATTTTCTTATTTTTATTAATGATGCTTCATGAAAGTTGTTTGTCTTTTATTTGAGATTGAAAGACCAAACTTTTCAGCATTTCAAGAAGTTTTATATCATGATGGAACGGGAAAGTGGAGAGATTTTGAACTGTCTCCAAACTAACAATGGAGGGAAATACACATCTAAAGCATTTGAAATTACTGCTCAGAGTATGGTATTAGATATGAGAAGATAGTTCCTGGTACCCTACAACACAATGGCGTGGTTGAGGGAATGAATCGCACCATCGTGTAAAGGGTCAGAAGCACGTTAAAGATGGTTGGGTTGCCTAAGTCATTCTAGGGTGAAGTTGTTCAGATAGCATGCTACTTAATCAATCGATCTCTATTAGTTCTTTTGAATTTTGAGATTCCAAAAAAGGTGTAAGCAGGAAATATGTTTCTTATTCTCACTTGAAGGCTTTTGAGCAAAAAGCATTTGCACATGTTCCTAAAGAACAACAATTGAAACTAGATAAAAATTAGTGCTTGCATTTATATTGGCTACAAAGATGCAGAATTTGGTTATAGACTTGGGATCCAGAAAAGAAGAAAAGAGATGTGATTTTTCATGAAAATCAGTAGTAGATTTCTAAAAATCTGGGAATCAAAGACATGTTGCTAAGATTGTGACTAACCTTACTCTTGTCTCTTTGCCTTTAGATAGTGCCACTCAAGGGATAGAAACTCATGTTGATAAGCTACCATAGGTTGATGAGGATGATCGAAAGGATCTTAAGCAAGGAGCAACCTACCACATTGGAACCTCGGAATAGAAGATCTACCAGGGAGCATTATCCATCAACTGGGTATGAAATTAAGTGTTGATAACTAATAAGGGAAAGCCAGAAAGCTTTCAAAAGGTACAATCTCATAAGGACAAGTAGAGCTGGATGAAGGTTATGCGAGAAGAGGTGAATTCTATGCAGAAGAATAATACTTATGAGCTAGTAGAACTTCCTAAAGATAAAAAGATATTGAAATATAAATGGGTATTCAAGCTGAATAAAGACGGTGAAAAACAAGTAAAGTATAAAGCTCGATTGGTGATGAAGGGCTTCAATTATAAGAAAGGGATTTACTTCAATAGATAATCTCTCTTGTTATAAAAATGACTTCCGTTCAAGTGGTTTTAGGTTTAGTATCCAGTGGTGGAGGCACATATGGGCAAGGGCGGTCAGTGGCCCTACACAAATTTCTCTTTTTTAAATTAAAAAAAAAAAAAAAAAAAACCACTACTAGTGCATAAATTTTCTTCCCATTCCAATTTCAAATAGCTTAGAACCTACCTACCTAATCTACCTTTTTCTCTCTTAAATATCTTGTAAATTGGATATCGATTGATGGGAGGTGAGTTCAACGAGTCAGTTCGTTATGCTCTTCAACTGATTTATTTATATCAATAAGTCAGGCCGTTATGCTCTTCAACTGATTTATTTGTATCCATTTTTTCAATTTTCACTATTTTTGTGCTTGTGAATTAGTGGCTTTAGAAGACAATAAGGAAGGCTTTCTCTAGAGAAGATTAAAAAAGGTACAATACAAACTTTGATGCATAATATGATAATAGATTGGCATTAAATTCCACCTCAAAAGGTTTCAAAATCTCTTGGAGAAGACTACTGAATTGTTTTTGTAGTTCTATTACTTATTGATTAACATGGCATTGCCAGTGTAAGAATATAATTTGGTGTTTTAGTGTAAGAATATAATTTGGTGTTTTTTTGCATATATTATTTCACCATTTTTAGCTGGAAAGCACAATCTCGAATCCCTTGTTGTTGCTACATATGTGTGTGTGTGTGTCAAGGAATTATATTCAAACAAGCTAAGAGATTATATGGCAATGTTTTATATATTTCTTTGAATTCATCATCATATTTAACGGATCCCCTATTCGT